GTTCTCCAGGATGTACAGATACTCCCCGTGCTGCTGGTAGATTAGCTTCATAACCCGTAGCAGCTCCAAGAAAAGTGTGGACCTCGGGTCGTCCAGCCCCTTACCTTTCCCGACCCGGGACACCCCTTGGCACTCCCAGGCGGCCACGAGAAGATCAACCCTTCCCCACCGACGCACATCCTCCGTGGCCACTTCCCTGATGTCGTTGATGAGTTCTTCTTCCGCCTCCGCCTCCACCCCCGACAGCATCTGCGTCGGATAAATTCCGCGCAGCTTCCTTGCGTGGTTGAATGCCATCCTTCGCACCAACGGATCCAACTCCACCAGCACCCACTTCTTCACCTTACAACCTGCCTTCAGCGCTGCCGCCAGCCCGGTGCCAATTCCGCCGAAGAGTTCCATGATGGTGATCGACTCCTGCATGCGGGTGAGGTCTGTCACTCGTGGGGGCAGGGCTAGGGGCCGCTCTGCCTGCTCTTCTTCCGCCCTGCGCGTCTCCCGTTCCAGGACATACTGCTTCCAGGACCAGTCTTCTAACTGCTCCTCCACCTCTGCCATTCGCGCTCGGAAGGCCTCCCTCGGCTCTCTTCGGACGAAGTGTACTGGAAGCGTGCCCACGGGTCCGTCGTCTCTCCAATATTGGGCCCGGTAAAGCACCTTCTCCTGCCAGGTGCAGATGGTGGCGCCCACTCGGTATAACAGTTCCATGCCTATCAGTAAGTCAAAATCCTCTGACGGCGAGATACCGCACCGCATCCGTATCCTGCATTCGTCCTTCGTGCCTGGCCGGCGGATCACCTCTACTGGCATGCGCGTGCAGGGCATCCACTTGGGTTCCCCGCCCTCCGCGGTCATGACCAGTATGCCCCGCGTGATGAGCCGATTCGGCTGATCTAGCTCCAACCTCTGGGCCAGCCCCTTTCCCAAGAGAATGTGGTGAGCCCCCGTATCAATGATAGCCTGTGCCACCGTCACTCCTCCCACCGTGATGGCCCCCTTTTCGATCGTCAGGACAGACGGGTGGCACACCATGCGCTCCTTGGGATGCCTTTCCGACGTCAATTCCTGCTCTGGTTCTGCCGCGTAACCACGAAACCGCCTCACTCTTGGCGCCGACTGCTGACTCCTCTCTGCCTGATCACTTCGGAGGTAGATCTCGTCTCGCTGCCTCGGGGCTCTGACCATGAGCATGAACTCCGCCTCACTGCCCCCCTCCTCTTCCTCTCTGGCCAGCATGGCGGGTTCCTTGCGGGCCGCGCCTTCCAGTTCTTGGATCCTCGCTTGCAGCACCCGGAGCTGCGCCTCCAAATCTTCTTTGCTCCTTGGCCCTGCTGATCCTGGCCTCCGACTGTAGCAGTCCGAGGTGCGATGTCCTCGCCTTCCGCAGTTTTCGCACGTGGGGATTTCTGGGCACTCTCGGCGCAGATGTCCTTCTGCCTGGCAGTGGTCGCACCTCGGCGGCCTGCTGCAATCACGCTGTAGGTGTCCCTCCTGTCCGCACCGATGGCATCTCCTAGTCTCCGCTTCCCGCGGGCCGCGCCTGCTGGAGGATTCCCCTGTCGCCACCGCCGCCCAGGCTGGCTTGCGGCGTTCCTCAGAAAGCAAGACACCCCTCTCCATCTCGTAGAGGCGGAGCCCGATCTCGTGCTTCTTCGCCAGCTCGTACGCGTGCTCCAGCGTGGCCGACGGTCCTAGCTCGAACACTCTGCTTCTCACGTCCCCGGCCACGCGCTTGTCCATGCAGTTTAGAAACTTGGAGACCAACCTCCACTCGTCCCGGCATTCCATGTCCGTTGCGAGCTCCCGCAGTCTGCCGTATGTTGCTAGCAGCGACTCCCCGGACTTCCTTTTAAAGGAGGCGAACTCCCTCATCCGCTCTGGCGTCTGCACGGGGAAGTGCCGTTTCAGCGTGTCAAAGAAGTGCGACACCACGTCCCACGTCACTCCGTTGGCTTGCACGGGCTCGCTTAGCATGCGTTCCAGTTCCATGCCGTACGCGGTCTCCGCGTCCCCCGTCACCGTGTTCGACAACCCTCGGAAGAAATCTTCCGGCTCCAGCCCATCCTTCATCCAGCGGTACTGTGCATTGCGAATCTGCATCATATAATTCTTGAGGCTGCTGCCCATGCCTGCGTTCCCGCGAATCGTTCGGGAACTTTGATCTTGGGTAGCGCGGCATATTTCACGTTCCCCGCTCGAGTCACCTCTGTCGTCTGATGCTCCGACATGGATAGCCGCCTCATGCGCCCGAGCATCTCGCTGTCGGTGCCGCCCTCCACGCGCGTCTCTTCCTCGCGCGACAGCGGGCCCAGCGCAGCCACTTGCGCCAGCGGTCTTCCTGTCGAGCTCTCCCTGACGCCCAGGCCTTCGCTCGGCAGGTCGCTCATACTGTGCCTCCGATGCGGTGCCGTGTAGGTTTCTCTCTGTGCGCCGGCCTCCGATTCACTCGCTTGCGTGCCTCCGCCTCCGCCCGAGACGTCCCCTGCACGACAGCCTGGCGTGGCCATCGACGTCGACGCCGGCGGCCGCTCGTACCGCTTTCCTGATCGCGTCTGCATACACTACCTATCGCGCTTAAATTCAGAGATCTCTTCGCTGTATGTCAGAAAATCTCCTTACTACACTAGCCTGACGGGATGGTTTCCTAGCGCGCTCATGCTTGCCTGTGGTTGTTGCAACAGGATTACATTGGAGCAGAATGGAAAACATACAACGAAGCAATTGAGCTAGGGTTTCAGCAGGGCTATGTACAGTGAGAACAATCAACCCTAGCCTAAGGGCGCGTGTAATCTTGCCGAACCTGACCGAAAGTTCGAACTTTCATAACGGTTCGTCACAGTAGGATACAATTGGAAGAGTTTTGCCACGGTGCAACACGGTTTGAGTTCGAACTTTGTCAGGTTCGGCAAGATCACATGCGCCCTAATGCTTCTACACACCACGCTTGGGCGAGGCTCGGGGCACCGAGCCGTATGTACAGACCGCAGGCGGTTTGGAGCTGCATGAGCTCCAGCACGAGCTTCTTGCCAGCTGCTTGCTTGGCTTGCATGATGAACTGCAGCTCTTCGCCACCTGTCGGCCGTGCTGTCCTTATCCGCGTCATCAGCTCCGCCCTGTACACAAAGGAAACATTCGGCACACGAAACAAACATACACCCAACCCGAGCCCACTCATACTCATACAACATTCAAAGCGTTATGGTACAAATATGTACACCCCCACCACTCCCTGCACCCCGTGAGACTCCTCCTTCTCCACCCTGCTGCTTCATCCTCTGGCAATTACACCTCTGCGCTGTCTCGGTCGGCATGGGGCCTTCTCGGCTCCGTGATACCGCGACACTGCGCGCCGACCAAATGCGGGTCGTTGAGAATTTTCGCGCTAGGGTTACACTCGCCGCCGATGCGCACCTGAAGATTCACTGGCTTCGTCTCGGTACTGTACTGCGCGGTCATTTCTCCGCACGTAAAATCAATCTGATCGTGAATCAAATAGCACGCGCCTTTTCCTTTCTTCCCGTCGATGGTTATATCGGGGATGTACTGCCAGTACGTGCACAGCGGCGTCGCGGCGCAGGTGTTGCAGCACGACGCGGGGTTCGCCTTGAGCAGAGTCAGCGGGTTACCCGGATCGTACAATTCGTAACCGAGCTTGTTCTTCTACAGATAAGCAGTTTTCCACTTGGCGGCGATTCCGCCCTTGGAGCAATTTTTCGGTGTGCAGGCACCAGAAAGCTCCTTGTTCAATCCAGGCGGACATTTTTGCGCGTTCCATCCGGCCTTCTTCACGTCAGCCATGAAAAAGGAATCCTGCGCGGTATCGACGTATGTCACACCTGCCGCGTTACCCGACGCGGCAAGTTTCGCGATGTCCTGAGGAATGTCGGTCATGAGCCCGTCGTCCTTCTTTCCGCTTGGGTCGGGTTTCTCATTCGCGGAGGAGCTCGTGATGGGACTCCCGGCGCGCGCGAAGACGACGAGCAGCGCAAGGGAGAGCGCGAGAAGCGCTGATCGAGCCATTCTAACTAGCAAGTACTGCTTGTGAGGGCGAGCAGGCAGGGGTAATGATAAAACTCCAAAAATTGCGAGGAGAAGCTGTTCCGATTCTGCTGCTTCGATTGCGTTGTTTGAAACTCAATGTGTTAGAATTCTTTTCCAACACATTTATATCATGCAATGCTTACACGTTCCTCCAATGGGATTGGTTGGATGACGTCCCCGAGGTTGATGCGACGCGGAGCCTGAAACAGGCTGTATCAGTCTCGAGTCACGCACATTACGAGCCGCAGGTGTCGCAGACATTTTGGGCTGATCTCGTGCCTTGGTGATTTCAACCTGAGTTGTGACCTGGTTCTCAATTTGGGGCGCAGGTACAACCGTCACCATGTGCATGCTCTCGGCCCCACAAATCGAATCGAATGGTGTGCTGATGATTGACAACTTCTACACTATTTCTTCCAGCTGAATATAACTGTCTTCTCGTATCAATTTCATACCATGTTAAATGAAGGAGCTGAACATTGTATTTAAACATGTATTCATGTGCTCTTCCCTCGTCTTCTGCAGATAATGTAACGCATCCTCTACATCCCTTGGACGTGGGAGCTTGCCTCTCCCCTCCCCAAGAGCCACAGGTTCATTATAAGAATCTTGCTCCTTCCTCTGCACATACTGCAGCCCATCTTCACATCCCCTATATAAGCGCCTCTGCTAAGGCTTGAACGTGGGAGCCTGCCTCTCTCCTCATACACCAGCCGTGCCACAGGTTCATTATAAGGGTCCTCCTCCCTCTTCCTCAGCAGATACTGCACCCCATCCTACGGATCCCCTGTATAAGGTCCTTCGCTAAGGCTTGAACGTGGGAGCCTGCCTTTCCCCACCCCAAGTGGCCTCATACTCCAGCTGTGCCACAGGTTCATTATAAGGATACTCCTCCCTCTTCAGCAGCAGACAGTGCAGCCCATGCTCTACCTCCCCTTTATATACAACTCAGATCTCTGTCAAGGCTTGAACGTGGGAGCCTGCCTCTCCCCACCCCATGTTGCCTCATACACTAATCTGGATACAGGGACATTATAAGGGTCCTCCTCCCTCTTCCTCAGCAGATACCGCAGCCCGTCTTGCACCTCCCCCTTCACATGCGCGTACAGCTCTGCTGCTGCTGCCTTGTCTGTCAGCAAGTGGGACATGCCTGAGGAGGAGGGGAAAGGGCGGACACATGGGGAAGAATGGGGTGAGGAGGGAGTAGAGTGTTTTGAGTGTTTGCTTGTGAAGCGTACCCTGCAGCCCTTCCTGCACCTCTTCTTTCACATGCGCATTCAGCTCTGCTGCTGCTGCCTTGTCTGTCAGTAGGTGGCTGGTCGAAAAGGGGTTCAGGGGGGTGCTAATGGGTGGGTATGGGAGGAAGCGCTGAAGAGGAAGCAGAGGCGGTTGAGGCCCTTGGGCACCACGGCAGGCGGGATGAACTGCTCTGCTGCTGCCCCCTCAAGTCACAGCCACTATCACTGGCCCTTGCCTCAGCCCCACTAACACAGCTCACCCTTTGTTCTAATGAGTACCATGAAGAGGAAGTAGAGGCGGTTGAGGCCCTCCCTTGGGCACCACGACTGGAGGGATGAACTGCTCTGCTGCTTCAACGCAGGCCACCACCACTACGAGTGCTTCTTGATTCCCCACCTCTCCACCACTGCTCACCCTTTGTTCTGATGGGCGCTCTGAAGAGGAAGTAGAGGCGGTTCAATTCCTTGGGGACCACGACTGGTGGGATGAACTGCTCTGCTGCCGTCCCTGCCTCTTGCCAGACCACCAATACCACTGCTCCTTGATTTACCGTTGCTACCACTGCTCACCCTTTTGTTCTGATGGGAGCTCTGAAGAGGAAGTAGACGCAGTTGAGGCCCTTGGAAACCACGACTGGTGGGATGAACTGCTCTGCTGCCCTCTTGTCATCACCACTATCACTGCCGCTCTCAGGTCACCACCCTACCACTAACAGTGCTCACCTTTTGTTCTGATGGGCGCTCTGAAGAGGAAGTAGAGGCGATTCAACCCCTTGGGCACCACGACTGGTGGGATGAACTGCCCTGCTGCTGTCCCTCAGGTCAGCACCACTACCACAACCCCATGGGTCACCACCACCACTACCACCACCACTACTGCACCTTGTTTCACTGCTACTATCAGCGCTCACCTTTTGTTCTGATGGGTGCTTGGAAGAGGAAGTAGAGGCGGTTCAACCCCTTGGGGACCACGACTGGGGGGATGAACTGCTCTGCTGCTTCCCCTGCTGCCGCTGCATCCCTGTTAGTATGAGGAACGAAGGGAGGGAGGAGTTGTGTGTGGGGGGGAGAGAAGGGCAGATAGCGTGTGTGCTTAGGTGCATTGAGAACAAAGCAAGGAAGGGATGAACTGCCTTCTGCTGCCCCTGCTACTACTGCTGACTCCATAAGATATTCAGGTAAAGTTTTACAAGGGAACAAGGAGAGCGGGTCCATCCACGGTATGTGAAGCAACAGCGACTTTGTTGTATGAAATTTGCCTGATTGTGGGTAATGTTGGCACCGTACTGTATCCGTCTGAACCGCTTTGCACCACACTGCATCCACTGCCCCACAAGGTCGTGCCTACACGTCCTTCCCTGCCATGGGATCAATCATGGGCTGTTGAGCTTTTCACCGCACTGCACCACACTAGACCTTACCCTATCAGGCTTTCCCGCTCTGCACTACACTCGCCGAACCACCATGCTGCAGCTTCACTGCTGGGGCGTTACCGCTCGACACCGCACTGCACCATTCTTCATTGATACCTGACTCCATGGGCCATGCTTGCACGCCCTCCACTGCCATGGAGTTGACGATGAGCACGTAAAAAAATATCATCGCACTGCCTCACACCGCACTTCACTGCTGCGGATGGCTCTACACCGCACTGCACTCCACTGAATCTCACGTTACTCTGGGCCATGCCTGCACACCCTCCACTTCCATGGGGCCGATGATGGGCACGTTGGGGGCATTTCGTCCGCATCTACCAGGATCTGCATGGGAGGCGTTACCGCTCTGCACCTACACCGTTGAGGCAATACTGCACTGCACCGTACTGCACTCCACTCAACCGTACCTGACTCTGGGCCAAGCCTGCACGCCCTCCACTGCCATAGGGCCGATGATGGGCACTTTGGGCATTTCGTCCGGATCCACAAGGATCTGCATGGGACGTTACCGCTCTGCACCTTGAACGGTGGGGCAATAACACAGTGCACCGCACTGCAGTCTACTCAACCGTACCTCACTCTGGGCCATGCCTGCACGCCCTCCACTGCCATGGGGCCAATGATGGGCACGCTGGGCATTTCGTCCGGATCCACAAGGATCTGCAAGTATTCAGAAGGGAGAACAGAGCATAATAAGTCATTAACCCATCATCCACACCAATGCATGCAAACGGGAGGATTGTGTCTTTGTCCTTGGCCTCTACTATATCTATCACAACCCCTACAGACAGTCACGCACACCCCCTCCACTCCCAACCCACTCACATCAAACCCATCATCCATGCCGATGTATGCAAACAGGATGTTATTGCTTCAGTATTTGCTTCTACTGTTTCTACCAACCCCCCTAGAGCCCGTCACACACATCCCCTCCCCTCCCCTCCCTCCCACCCACATCAGACCCATCGTCCACACCAATACATGCAAACGGGATGATTGTTGCCTCGTGCTTTTACCTCTACCATTCCCATTGCACCCACCACAGTAACAAACACCCCCTCCCTCCCACTCACATCAGACCCATCATCCACACCAATACATGCAAACGGGATGTCGCTTCATGCTTGCGATACCGCCATCGAACGGGATGTCGCTTCATGCTTGCGATACCGGAATCAAACGGGATGCCGCTTCATGCTTGCGATACCGCAATCAAACGGGATGCCGCTTCATGCTTGCGATACCGCAATCAAACCGGATGTCGCTTCATGCTTGCGATACCGCAATCAAACGGGATGTCGCTTCATGCTTGCGATACCGCAATCAAACGGGATGTCGCTTCATGCTTGCGATACCGCAATCCAACGGGATGTCGCTTCATGCTTGTGATACCGCAATCGAACGGGATGTCGCTTCATGCTTGCGATACCGCAATCAAACGGGATGTCGCTTCATGCTTGCGATACCGCAATCAAACGGGATGTCGCTTCATGCTTGCGATACCGGAATCAAACGGGATGTCGCTTCATGCTTGCGATACCGCAATCAAACGGGATGTCGCTTCATGCTTGCGATACCGCAATCAAACGGGATGTCGCTTCATGCTTGCGATACCGCAATCAAACGGGATGTCGCTTCATGCTTGCGATACCGCAATCAAACGGGATGTCGCTTCATGCTTGCGATACCGCAATCAAACGGGATGTCGCTTCATGCTTGCGATACCGCAATCAAACGGGATGTCGCTTCATGCTTGCGATACCGCAATCAAACTGGATGTCGCTTCATGCTTGCGATACCAGAATCAAACGGGATGTCGCTTCATGCTTGCGATACCGCAATCAAACGGGATGTCGCTTCATGCTTGTGATACCGTCCCTCTCATCACACCCTCTCTAGTCCCATCCCCTCTATTCCCACTCACATCGAACCCATCATCCACGCCAATGCATGCAAACGGGATGATTGTTGCTTCGTGCTTTGCCTGCAAGCCAAGGAAGCAGCATATGAAAAAGGAGGTAGCATATGAAAAAGGAGGTAGCATATGAAAAAGGAGGCAGCAGCATATGAGGCTGGAAACAGGTAGAGAGGAGACAGTGAATAAAAAGACGTTGCAAAGTGCTTCACCCTTTTCAAACCAAACAGCACACACACATACTTTTGGGTTGAGTGAAAAAAACGAACTCAAACCAAGCAGCACATATCCAGTTGTACTGAATTCACACTTAGTAATAGAGGAATGTACATAAAACGGTTCCCTCAATATGGAAGCGCAACCCAACTCACCGCCATGCGCACAAACTCTGCTCGTTCGGGCCAAAAAAGCTGATATTCCTCCCCCTGTGGTAGGCGAAACACAGAAGAGCAAAAAAGGAAACGCAAAGCACCACGATTCTAAGGTGCCTCACAACCAAACTCTGCTCGTTCGGGCCAAAAAAGCTGATATTCCTCCCCCTGTGGGAGGCGAACTCAAAAGAGCATAAAAGGAAACACAAAGCACCACGAATCAAAGGCGCCTCAGAACCAGACTCTGCTCGTTCGGGCCAAAAAAGCTGATAGTCCTCCCCCTGTGGGAGGCGAACTCAGAAGAGCATAAAAGGAAACACAAAGCACCACGAATTTAAGGTGCCTGAAAACCAAACTCTGCTCGTTCGGAACAAAAAAGCTGATAGTCCTCCCCCTGTGCACACAACAAAGCACAAGACCATGCACATGGCTGCAAAGGATGGAACCGCTTCAGAGAGAATGCAGCTTCTCAAGCCTCCAGGAAACAGCAGCGCAGCTTCCTTGTTAGCAAGCATCTTTTATGTGTTAGCGGGGGTCACAGGGACCAACTCAACAAAGCTCCAAAACACGTCCCCACTCCTTCAAACCCCTGGGTCACCGCACCCCACCCCACCACGCCCCACCCCACCTCATCGCATTCAACTGTTGCTCACCCTTTTCTTGAGGGCCTCTCGAACGCCTCCAGGAAACAGCAGCGCAGCTTCCTTGTTGGCCAAGACCTTGTAGGTATTGGCAGGGATCACAGGAACCGACTCAAGGTAGCACCACAACACCACTCCACTGCACTCAACCATTACTCACCCTTTTCTTTAGAGCCTCCCGCACGCCTCCAGGAAACAGCAGCGCAGCTTCCTTGTTTGCCAGCACCTTGTAGGTGTTGGCAGGAGTGACAGGCACTGCCCCAAACACCTTGTACTGCTCTCCCTGCTCCACCAGCATGTTGATATCGTGGAACTGTGGAAAGAGGTATATGGGAACAGGGGGAACAGGGTATGGAGTTCCGGGGTTTAGGTTTAAGGTAGAGGGTTCTCAGTTGGCGGGGATATGACAGGCATGGCTCCGAACACCTTGTACTGCTCGCCCTGCTCCACCAGCATGTTGATATCGTGGAATTGTGGGTTCAGGGATTCGTATTTAGGGTTGGGGGGATATAAGGTTGCCCGCAGTCCAAGAGTGACAGGCACCGCTCCAAACACCTTGTACTGCTCGCCCTGCTCCACTAGCAAGTTGATATCGTGGAACTGAGGGTTCAGGGTTTCGGGTTTAGGGTTGGGGGGGGATAGGGTTGTTCTCAGTCGTGGGGTCACAGGGACCGCTCCAAACACCTTGTACTGCTCGCCCTGCTCCACCAGCATGTTGATATCGTGGAACTGAGGGTTCAGGGTTTTGGGTTTAGGGTTGGGGGGGGATAGGGTTGTCCTCAGTCGTGGGGTCACAGGGACCGCTCCAAACACCTTGTACTGCTCGCCCTGCTCCACCAGCATGTTGATATCGTGGAACTGTGGGTTCAAGGTTCAGGGTTCGGGGTTTAGGTTGGTCAGGTCAGGGGGATATAGGGTTGCCTACAGTCCAAGAGTCACAAGCACAGTCCCGAACAAGAAAAAGGTGTAGGGTCCTCGATCAAGGGGTGTGCGAGCCCTCTGACCACCACGCCGTGCGCCATGAGCTCTGATACCAACACACTCATCTCCGGCGCCAGCGTCTGGTGGTTGGTTGGTTGGTTGGTTCGCCCTGCAATATTTGGTTGGTTTGTTGTACACTCACCATCTCTATGGCTAGAGGGTGAGCAAGCCCTCTAACCACCACGCCGTGTGCCATGAGCTCTGATACCAACACACTCATCTCCGGTGCCAGGGTCTGGTGGTTGCCCACAAACAGCAGCGGCCGCTCGCATGCCGGCACTCCCTCTAAGCCCACCACCACCCGCTGCCGCTGCTTTCGGCCTGTTGATATACTGCTGAGGTTTGTGTTTGCTGGAAAATTGTTGCTGCTGCTGCTGCTGCTGTTGCTTCTGCTTGTGCTCCCATTTTGCGACTCCGAAACAGCAGCACCATTACCAGCAGCCCTGTTACTAACAGCACCGTTACTAGCAGCCCCGTTACTACCAGCCCCGTTACTAACAGCCCCGTTACTACCAGCCCCGTTACTAACAGCCCGGTTAATAGCTGCTCCGTTAGTAGCAGCCCCATTACCAGCAGCAGCCCCATTCCCCCCAACAGCTCCATCTGCTTTACCACGAGACTCGCTAGCAACAAAATTGTTAACAGGAGATTTTTCCACAATAGTTGAGAGAAAGATGGGGCTGCAGAAGCGGCGAAGAAACCTGCATTGAGGAGCAGAGCAGAAGAGCCAATAGAGGAGGGGCACAGGAGGAAGGTGCTCTACAATTAGATACATACTTCGATTCCAATGCAAACATAATCTGCCACAAATGCAGAGAGGAACACAAGCAGCATTTATTAGGAGCCTCAAAAGGCAGCAGAAGCGGCATGGAGACTGCATGCAGGAAATGAGCGAAAGGGGTTTGGAGCGAAAAGCGTTAAGCACAAGGGTTAAAACCCTCTGCTCCAACCATCCACCCACCCACCCGTCCAACCCTGATTTGGCTAGCTCTTGGACAGTGGGCGGCTGAAAGCCAGACACCACAGGGCCGTCCCCACGCCCCTGATCCTGCACACTCTCACCTAGAGACAACGCTTGCTACCGTTCTCCACCCCTGTCCACTCACCCGTCCAGCCCTGACTTGGCCCGAGCCAGCTCCTGGAAAGTGGGAGGCTGAAAGCTTGCAACCACAGGGTCGGCCCCTCGCCTCTCAACCTGCAGCCCCTCACTTAAGTTCGAATCACTATGTTACCACTCTCCACCCACCCGTCCAGCCCTGACTTGGCCCGAGCCAGCTCTTCCACAGTGGGCGGCTGGAAGCCTGCCACCACAGGGTCGTCCCCCCGCCTCTGAATGTACATGTGTGCTCCCTTGATGGTGGAGGCGAGGTCCAAGCCTGACTCCTGGCAAGGGCGGTGGAAGGGGGGAGAAGAGGGGGGTGTAAGATGTTGGGGTAGGGTTGATTGCTACCGGCCTACCAGCCTGCCACCACAGGGCCGTCCCCTCTCCTCGTGAGCTATTTTTTAGAATTCTCAAAAATCGGTGGATGGGGGGAGAAGAGGGCGATGTAAGATGTTGGGGTAGGGTTGAGTGTTACAACCCTGCCACCACAGGGTTGTTCGGCCCGTCGTTCTCTGAATGTACATGTGTGCTCCCTTGATGGTGGAGGCAAGATCCAAGCCAGATTCCTGATAAGAGTGGGGAAGAGGTGGGGTGGAGAGGGGAGGGGGGAGGGGGGTGGTGTACATGGTGGTGGGTATGGTTGTTATCAGCCTGCCACCACAGGGTCGTCCCATGGCCTCTGAATGTACATGTGTGCTCCCTTGATGGTTGACGCAAGGTCAAAGCCTGACTCCTGGTGTGTGGGGTGGGGTTGGGATGCATGGTGGTAGGTAGGGCTGGTAATAAGCCAGCCACCACAGGGTCGTCTCCTCGCCTCTGAATGTACATATGCGCTCCCTTGATGGTGGAAGCAAGGTCCAAGCCAGATTCCTGGCAGGTATGACCGAGATCGAATGTGATTGAGGCAATATAACAGCAGGAATGAGTGCGCACAGAGACAAATACACCAGCAGCAGCACACAGAAAAGCACTCACCAGCAGCAGCGCATGCCCTGACCCTTCAAATATCCGCACAACTGTCCGGGCTTTGGTTCTCTTTAGTATCTCCTGCAAACGACCAGCTTCCTCCTTGCTGGGAAGAAGCTGGTCGTCACTCCTGGGCAGAGAACGAGAAAGAGGGAGAGCAGACGAGATGGGTGGAGAGGGATGTGGAACGGCCTTGTGATACCATCCATTGCTTTGGCTGTGGTTAGAATCTCCTGCAACCGAGCAGCCTCCTCCGTGCTGGGAAGAAGCTGGTCGTCACTCCTGGAGGGGGAATGAGAGAGAGGGAGAGCAGACGAGAGAGGGAATGGATGGAGAGGGATGAGGAACGGCCTTGTGATACTATCCGTGTCTCTGGCTGTGGTTAGGATCTCCTGCAAGCGACCAGGCTCCTCCTTGCTGGGAAGAAGCTGGTCGTCACTCCTGCGAAAACGAAGAAAGAGGGAGAGGAGACGAGAGAGGGGATGGATGGAAAGAGATGCGGGACGGCCTTGTGATACTATCCGTGTCTTTGGCACTAGTTAGGATCTCCTGCAAGCGACCAACCTCCTCCTTGCTGGGAAGCACCTGGCCGTCACTCCTGCGAAAAGAAGAGAGAGGGAGCAAGGGAGTGGATAATAGGAGTGACAACAGCATACGGCAATGCAGTGACCAGAGGACTCAGGGACTCAGGGACTCGGGGACTCGGTGACTCGGGGACTCAGATTTGGAATGAAATCTCCTGAAATAGGGGATGGATGGCCGGGGTGGATGCAGAAAAATCATGTTAGAAGCTAGTCTGTGCATGACTATTTTCATGATGCTCTTAAGTATCCAAACAGTGTTACGAACGACTCAGAACAAAGCAGAGCTATATGAGAAGGACCATACACACACACGAAGACATGCACACACACATATCCACACGCATACTGGCAATAGTGGGTGAGTGTCAGTGCACGAATGAAAGAGAGAAGAGGGTCTGTACGAGCACAGCCAAGGATCAACCAGTGCTTTGGAGTGACTCAGAGCACATGGAAGAGAACTACTCACACATACGCATACATACATGCATACACACACACACACATGCGTGCACGCACACTCGTATACTCGAATGCGCATACCCGGCAATAATAAGAGTCGGTGCATGAACGGAAGAAAGCAGAGGCTCTGTGAAGGCAGATCCTGTTTCCAGCAGATGTAGCTTCCACTCAAGCGTGGCTTGAGGGAGCAATTCTGTCAGGAGCTGAATGAGGGGGGTGATAAACGGCCGGGCACAGGGGTTGTGAGGAAAGGCAATGAGGAGAAAAGGTTCGACCCAAAACATGCTCACTAGAACTAGCACCAGCCGTGCGAGAGTGCAACTCACCACCAGCAGAGACAACAGCACGATCAAGTGGTTCACTTGACAGGTGTGGTTAAGAGTAAAGGGAGCAGCATGAGAGAGCAGTTTACAGGGAGAGGCGGCAGCAGGCTGAGCTGATTGTTCCTTGGTTTCTCTAAGCGGTCCTAGGGAGAGGTGTCAAGAGGCGAGGCGTCAAGCAGAAAGGGAGCAGCAGAGGGAGACAGAGCGGCTTAGAGCGAGAGACAGCAGGCTTACAGGCAGAGAGGGCAGCAGGCTGAGAAGATTGTCCCTTAGCTTCTCTAGGCGCCTATAGGAGAGGCGTCAAGACGAGAGGCATCAAAGGGGAAAGCGAGTAGCACGAGAGATAGCAGCTTACAGGCAGAAAGGTAGCAGGCTGAGTAGATTGTCCCTTAGCTTCTCCAAACGATCCAAGGGAGAGGTGTCAAGAGGAGTGGCGTCAACAGGGGAGGGAGCAGGGAAAGAAAACAGCTTACAGGCAGAAAGGTAGCAGGCTGAGTAGATTGTCCCTTAGCTTCTCCAAACGATCCAAGGGAGAGGTGTCAAGAGGAGTGGCGTCAACAGGAGAGGGAGCAGGGAAAAAAAACAGCTTACAGGCAGTGAGGGCAGCAGGCTGAGCAGATTGTCCCTTAGCTTCTCCAAACGATCCAAGGGAGAGGCGTCCAGTGGCAAACCGCCAGATGCTATGCGGATTGGGTTGACTGAAAGGGATTGTGTTTGGGAGAGATGGAAGGAGCAGGAGGAGGGGGGGGAGAAGGAGGGGAAATGAGGCCACAGGAGGTGGGGGAGAGAGGGAAGGGAATGAGAGAGGGACGGATGGGCAGAACCGCCATTATATACAAGCTTTTGAACCGAAGCATCGCATGGAAAAGCTCAAAGGAGTGCAGAAACAGCATTGGCCTTTCAGATGTGCTTTGTAAAAAGACAAGCTAACAATCTATGCATACGAGATTTTTTAGTCAGGAGTGCTGAGATGTGAGAGCAGCAGAGTAAGTAAAGCTATTGTACCTATGGCGAGGCTGAAGAGGAAAGGGAGAGCAGCGTAGGCCTCTGGAGGGACGCTCTTTAGCAGAGGAATGAGGGGCTGGAGGGAGGAGCGGGGGAAGCTGGTGGCTGGGAGGGAAAGGAAGGGTTGGCAGGAAAGAATGACATGGTCGGAGGTTGAAAAAAAGGGTTTCCGAGGCCATTCAGATGGATATGCGGCCTCTGGAGGGACGCTCCTGAGCAGAGGAATGAGAGGCTGCAGTTAGGAGCGGGGGAAGCTGGTGGCTGGGCATACACGGGGGAAGGAGACGGGAGAATGAGAGAGGGGGGTCTGAGGCGCCTCAATATGCGCATCTTGTGTCTGGTAGGATAGACGCTCTTGAGCAGAGGGATGAGGGGCTGCAGTGAGGAGCGGGGGAAGCTGGTGGCTGGGAGGGAAGGGAGGAGGGGAAGAGGGGGTGGAGGATGAGATAGTGTAATCCAAGACGCCTTGAGACGCCTCAAGAGGGACGCTCTTGAGCAGAGAAATGAGGGGCTGGAGGGAGGAGCGGGGAAAGCTGGTGGCTGGGAGGGAGTGGGGGAGAAACATTGTGCTTGGAGAGACGTGATTGGAGTAGGATGGGTCAGATTGGAAGCGGAGACGAGTGGGAGGAGGGGGGTGGGTGAAAAAGACGCAGGCCCACACAAATAGGCATTCTCACCGGAGTTTATGAGAACGAGGGTGATGGGCAAGGAGAGATTTCGGGCTGCCACTGCTGCGGTGAGGAGAGCACCGAACAACTCTCCCACGAGAAAGAGACAACCTAGCCAGCACCGAGCCAACCTGGAAGTAGCCCACTCACAACAGCAGAAACAGCCCTTGTTGTCTTGTCCGACCTGAGTTGATGAGAAGGAGGGTGATGGGCAAGGAGGGGTTCCATGCCGCCTCTGCTGCGGCGAGGAGAGCACCGAACGACTCCCCCACGAGAAAGAGACAGCCCAGCCCAGAACCAACCAACCTAGTAGTAACCCAACCAGCCACCGCACCAGAAAAAGGTCTTCGCTTCTCACCCGAGTTGATAAGAACGAGGCTGATTGGGAGAGAGGGGTTTTGTGCCGCCACTGCTGCAGCCAGGAGGGCACCGAACGACTCTCCCACAAGAAAGAGAGGCCGGCTGGGTGACTTCTCGTGCTCTTGTGATACGGTGATACCTAGTGCCTGCCTACTCCATAGTACTCACCACCATAACACACAGGAAAACATTCGTTTCTCACCTGAGTTGATGAGAACGAGGCTGATTGGAAGAGAGGGGTTTCGTGCCGCTACTGCTGCAGCCAGGAGGGCACCGAACGACTCTCCCACAAGAAAGAGAGGCCGGCTGGGTGACTTCTCGTGCTCTTGTGATACCTCAGCTTCCACGAGAGAGAGTAGACCTGGCAAAAAGATGAGGAAGAAGGGGGAGGAGAGAAGGGTGGTGTGGGGAAGAGGTGTACGCATGCCTCCTGGGTTGGTATGGTTGGGCGACTGCTCGTGCTCTTGTAATACCTCAGCCTCAACTAGAGATAGTAGACCTGGGGAAAGGATGGAGAAGGGGGTGGGGGTGGGGGGTTGTATGGGAAAGAGGTGCATGCGTTAGGCCACAGCCAACCCCATCCAAACACCCACAGATACATGCACACGCTCACACACTTCAAGAATACCTTGAAAGTCAGTTCGGTCGGTCAGTGGTTTTTTTTTTTTATATATATATACACCGATGATGCAAGTGCACACAAACATATGTCAGTCGTAACTGAGCGTGAGAGGCCCGGCAGCGTGCCAGCCTCAGGGGACGACTCTAAGGGGGATGCAGTGCCCCTCGCGCAAGATTCCATAACGCATCAAAATGACGGGACCATTTCCAGCCTTTGCCTTCCAGAGTCCGGATACGTCCAAGGAGCCGACACTCCTGATCTGCCAGCGCGTATGTCTTCCCGCCCTGCTTCAAATCGCCCTTCATGTTCAACTTTTTCCCTGTTGCCCGAGTATACACCCGCACATGTAGCCTGAAAGCTGCTTCAATCCTCCTCAGTACCCGCCTGGCCCGAAATCTCTTGCCTCGAAACACGCAATCACACCGCTCAGCCCAAATCTGGTGTATTGCAATTGCCGAGAGAGATGCTTCCGGAAAAGCTGGGGTGGAAGCGGTGTTGCCAAACAGTATGTCGCCCAAGCTGTCAACATGCCTCGTCGGATTCAGCATGCGCAGAGCCTTCCGAACTGCTCCCACAACCGTCTGGATTCTTGGACAGGTGTAGAGGCAGTGTTCCAGGGTTTCAAACTCCCGCAATGCGGGCAGACCGGCTTTCCACTCAAGAAAGAAAGCCTTTCACCCACTTGAAGGTTGAGACTGTGAATTCTCAGCAGCACATCACGTGGTCAGTTCGGTGTCACCAGCGAGTCCCGAATTTTCACAACCCTTTTCCAGTCAATAACTCCTGCCCATCTCGGTCGGTCAGTGGTATGTGCAGGCACGTGACTTGAAACAGCCGCCCCAGGGACTTGTGATGCAGCTTGAGCCCGTAGCCAACCCCATCCAAACAACCACCCAGGCATACACACTCAAAGATTTAGAGCCTACCTTGAAAGTCGGTCCGATCAGAGAGTGGTATGTGCAGGCACGTGACTTCAAACAGCTGCCCCAGGGACTTGTGATGCAGCTTGAGCCCGTAGCCAACCCCATCCACGCCCGGGAGAAACAACAGCCGTGGCAGGGCTTTTCCTGTCTCCTGCTGATGCTCTGCTGCGGGTGGCCTCGCGTCCAACGGGCAGAAGAACCGTGGAACTGCTAATTCTGTCGTTTCTGCGCCGTTGCTCCTGCTGCCTGTTCTGTTTTGGCTGCTGCTGGTGCTCTGGCGGTTGATGCTTCTGCTGTTATTTTCTCTGCTGCTGCCAAGATCAGGGAGGAGAGGCTTCAGAACATCCGGAACAGGGAGAATCTGTTCTAGAAGCTTCAGGGACCCTGGAGGTGGTAACTGTAACGGTAGCTGGAACGGATTCTGGAACGGAAATGGTAACTGTAACCCGTTACCGTCCGCCATCCCCCCGTCATTATCACTTCCCAACCCAGGAACCCCCTTGACCCCTGAAGCTCCTGCTGACCCGCTATTAGGCGCTCCATCAGATTCGATAAAAGCACGCAGCTCGCCGAGGTAATCAAATATATCCGGCGCCACGTACTCCCGTCGAACCCGCTCCACTGTAGCATACCTCTTTATTAGCTCATTCACCTGTCGCTGCAACTCGGCGTCTTCCTCATTGCCGCTCGACAATGGACCATTCGTGTCTGTCGCCGCGGACGCTGGGATTTCTCCCCCCGGCCCGTTCAACTGAACAGGTTTTTCCTTGTTGTTTACAGAATACCCAGGCTGCGAATTAGAACCAATGCTGTCGTTTCGCCGGCGGTTACGATCTGCTGAATCGGTGGCAACGGCTGTCGTGAGGGATGCAGACGAAGGAGACTGTGATTCGTGCGAAGGGGACGGCTTGGATGATTCGACGGATCCGCTGGCGGAATCTGACCCGTTGATTGCTCTGACTAACAACTTTCCCCTGCTGTTAAGACTGAATCTCCGAGTCGCTAACCTCCGAGTCGGCACCGCATTGCTACCACTGATGGTCCTACTAGTTCTAGGAACGGTGAATTGTGGGTTTAAGAAAGCTGCACGGGAGGCTCTTGGAAACTGAGCTGGCTGAGCAGGAAATGCGTCGAAAGGCGTCCCGCCCTGCGAACCTGACGGAAGAATGCCCGGCTGCGGTGACGGCGATAGGGTTGGAAGGTGCATTTCGACCAACGATCGGAACAACGGCGGCGCGAGGAGAATGAATCGGCCGCTGGAAAGCGAATTCGAAACGCTCTGCCGGATCTCTCTTCTCTAACAATGTTACGAATCAGCACGGAATAGAGTAGTTGGGCTGGGAAAGAAAGTACGAAAACACAGAATAGCTGTGTGCTGAAGGCGGTCAGTCGCGTATGCACCTATTGGATTTGCTGGAGCGGGTTGTATGGCCGACTGACTGGCCGAGAGGGCGACGACAGAAGGGAGCCTGCGGGCGAGGGGAGCTCTGCCAGTTCGCCCCGCATAGTGGTGGTTACCACAGCTCGCAGCGGCTGGATCATCCCCTCGGCGAAGATCTATTGACGAAAAGCTGTTTGCAAATCCCAAAGCCTTGTTCTTCCCGCCAACACGTCGCAGCGGCTGGTTCATCCTCTCGGCGAAGATCGATTGACGAAAATGTTGCTTGCGAATCCCAAAGCCTTGTTCTTCCCGCCAACACCTGCAAGACAACCACCACACAAACGAGGCGTGGGGCTTCCTGATTGGTCCAACACTCCATACTGCGGGCTTCGGCTCGGTCTTTCCGCCAAGCCAGCTATCGGTGGGTTCGGAAGCATTTTATTATGCTCGCATAGACCTTGCACATGTACTGAAATCATTAGGGAAAACGAGTTCTTCTTTGACGAGATTGGCGTCACCTTCAAGATAATAATTTGAAGTTGGACAGTTCTCTCAAAAGCCTATCTAGCCCTTCGATGAACTCTCTGATGTGAGCGCATCTGCTCTACTATTCTCACCCCCCGCGCGCTTCCGCAAGCCTCGCTTGCCTCTCTCGTTTTCGCGTGAAACATACGGGTTCTAGCGAGCAGCGATAAAATCTTAGGTTGTTTGGACTCATACTAAATTAGGGACGATTTCATCTCAACGACTATTTCATTCCGGCTGGTTAGCTGTGGCATGTCTGGGCAACTCACTCTGCATGGAGCCTTTTCTCAGAAACGGTGAAATTTCTCTGTCTTTAGTTTGAGTGCAATTCGTGTCACAGGCGACAATACAGCAAAAAAAAAAAAAAAAGTCATTCTTCTTTTTCTTTTTTTAACCTTCTAGCGCTCCCGCTTCATGCAACCCTAATGACGTCCGTTAGTTTCCAGCCCAACAATATCAGTAAACGCACCACTGCTTTGGGAAATTAAGCTCGCGCAGTTGGTGGCACTCACCTATTCATCGCCGTCCTGCTTCCACCTTTTCTGACCCATTCATTCTTTCAGGTCGCGGGTATCAGTGGATGCACCATCGCTTCGGGACAGCAACCCTTCCCTCTTCTCGCTTCTGCTCTCCGTGGCTCAACCTGAACAGCCAGCGAAGGAAAAGCAGCAAGAGGTTCTGAAACGACGGGTTACCACCTCAGCACATCCATCTCGATGTAGTCACCCTCCAGCACGTGACAACGCAGAACGGGCATACCGCGATGCACCAGCCTCCATAGCTGAAAGATCAAAGCAGCAAAGGACTCGCAATGCTTTCCAGACTACAGTCTTTCGAGCAGACACTCCTAAATCTGACAGCAACGGCGCAGCTCACCCGGGCAATGATTCACCAGCCTTGCCACTCGAAAACGGTCCCAGGAGTTTTCCCAGTGCCAGGGGTAATGGCTCCGATGCCAGATTCTTGCCGAGTTTAATGAATTCTCTTAGTGACAGGAGTTCTCCTAGTGACAGGCCTTTGCTAAGAGACAGAATTTTGTCAAGAGACAGGAGGTCTGAGGAATTTGCCCAAGCGAGGAGGCATAGAAGCGTGCGTTCTTCCCAGCCTTCATCTCGGGTGCTCGTTCTGAGTGAAAAGGAAGGAGCTTTGGGAGCAGGAAGGGAAGGGATGGGAGGGGATAATGGTGCAGGCTGGCAGCAGCAGGGCAGGGCGAAGAAGAGGCAGAGAGCGTTGAGTAGCAGTGACGGAGTGTCCTCTGCTTCAGTGCCGAAGCGGCAAGCTCATTTCAACCACTGTAAGTGTGTGTTACTCTGGTCTATTTCTTTGTGTGTTGCGTTTGGTTTGGTTTGCCAGTGTCCCCAGCAACGTCCCACATGCTGCACGGGTGAGGTGCATACCTACTAGTGATTCATTGAGTCGGCTTGGGTATGCTGCTGCTCTCACTGCGGCTACTTCCAAAATTGTTATTGCTGTATGTTTGCTTTACCTGTACGGTGTCCCAAGCTGCCTGAGGTTCCACTTATTGCATCTGAAGGTCTGAAGGATGATGATTGAGCTTGAAAATTTCCTGTAATTGTGGGTGTAGATCTGAAGGGTGATGGTTTTATCTGACCTCATGCTTTCCGCTTGCTCCTCCTTATGCATGTGTTTTGCAGATGTGATTGTAGATGTGGATGATGATGGTTCTATGTCTCACTCTCCCATTTATCCCAAGTGTTGCATGCGTTCTTGCTTGCTGCCCTTTATGTACATGTATGGCAGATGCGGATGGCATGGGATGGTGGGGAGATTCAGCAGTGGGTGTAGATGCGGAGGAGGTGGGCATGGGTGGAACCACATGGGAAGGGCATGGCTTTTTGTTTCACGACCCTGAAGGGTTTTGAGATAGACTACCAGTTTTAAAGACTCAGCAGAGAATGGGAGATGCAGGCAGCACGAAATGGGGGCGGGTTTGTATGTGGAAGTGGAGTGGGTTTGTTTGAAAATACTTCAGAGGTCATGTTGCGTTTCATGCTTCTGATGGCAATTACCCTACGTGTGAGTCCTGGTTAAAACCTTTTTATGGTATAATATAGTATGAGCCAGGGTCCTCGCTAGTTTCAGAACCTGCCTGACGCGTCAGACGGGCCCTTCGGGCCCGTCTTCCACGTCAGACATTTGTTATTCCTGGTAACTTATGCGTCAGATATTATCATATGCCTAAACTTCTAAATCAGAAATTACAAAAAAACTACCTACTGTTATCAGCATGTCTACTCTAGTTCAGTCAGGTCTAGGCCTAGCCTAATGCTACTTTCTGATCACCATGTTTCAGCTTCTCTACTCACTGTCAGAATCAGTGGCCAGGGAAAGGGTTGCACGAACATCTACGCCATCGTCTTCACTGTCACTTTCTGGAAGCTTGTCCCTCTTACGTCTCTTCCTCACAGCAAGGGAGGCCTTCTCGGCAGCCTCTGTCTCTGGTGCCGCATCATCTGCACCTTCCGCCAGCCCCCTGCGCTTGTGGCCCTTAGCCACACCACTGACTTCCTTGGCAGGGCGTCGCTGTCTTGCGCCTCGCCACAGCTTCACTACATCGTCCCAGTCTGGCTCGTACTGCAGGAGAGAGATGCACATGAGATCAGCAAGCCTGGCGTCGCACAAGTTGCCACGAAGCCAGGACTTGATGACGTTCTGGCGACTGAAACCACGCTCGCACTCCACTGTGCTGAGCTGCAAGACTGCGACGGCCATCCACAAGCGGACGAGGTTGGGGTACGACGTCTCCCAGTCGCCGCTTCGCAGCATGTTCTTGAGGCCTCCGTGGAAGGTTTGATCCTTGTACTGCGCGTACATCATCCGTGTGAAGCGCGGCAGCTCACGTTCGGCTTTCTTCCAGCTGACACCTAGCAGGCACAAGGAAACCAAACAAGCAGTCAGTGCCAGTGGTCAAAGATGTACAAAACCAGTTACAAGTCATCGCGCAGTTAGTTTGGCGGCTAGGCAGATGCGTACCAGGCAAAGCGCAACTGTCGCCGTTGAAGAGCGTGCGAAGGGAGCGGAACCACTCTCCCGTGATGCGATCTCGCTTGGCAGCACCATCTGGATAGGCGTCGGGCAGAAAGAGCTTGGAACCAATAATGGTCGCCAAGCTCTTAAACCGGAACTTGAGGCGGCCGATCACTTCCAGTGCAAACTTCTTGGCAAGAAGAACACATGACTCCAGATCCGGTGCTGATTCCACGCCTGGGATGGGCAGCTCGTGCAACTGGAAGGTGTGCGTGACAGCGTTGCCTTCACTGTCCATCCCCTCCACGTTGACTTCACGGCGGGAGGGATGCGTGCGTTCTTCTAGGAACGCACTGAGACGGTCGCTGTCCTCTGCAAAGTTGACACCGTACTCCACGTAGCGCGCATTCAGCTTTGCGCACGTGTTCTCCACCATCCCCGATACGCGCGTGATGTCCACCTGAAACAGAACGAAGGAAATGATGTTAGCACAGCGGATTGCAACGACCCAAGGTAGACAACTTGAAGAACTTTATAATAGCTTTAACTCACCGCTCGCCTCTGGAATTTCCTGTTCAGGTCGTTCAGCTCCTTGAGGACATCGGCAATGAAGAACAAGAAGAAGTGGAACTTCAAGCTTGTCACCATGTGATAGGTGTCCTTGTCTTGCTCATGCAGTAACACGATCGCCGCAAGAAGGACGGCCACAAAGCGCTCGATGGCATCTCCGCGCGCGAGCCATCGCATGTCTTTGAAACCCTGCATCTCCAGATGCGTCGCGTGCAGAACCTGCTGGAGCTCGAGAAAACGATGGTGGACGACGGAGCTGTTGGAGATGAGGCTCGCGACTGAACGCACCACTTTGTCGACGATGTTGAAGTCGGGCACGTTTGTTGCAGCGTCTTTAGCTGCAAGCGCCTCTCTGCACAACACAGCCACCAGAACAGTAGGGGGTCAACGTGGGTATACAAGGTGGAAGGGTACATGCTTGTATAAACCAATGATGCTCACCGGTGAGCGACGCAATGAGTTGCCACAAGATGCGGAACGCGCAACCGCAGCTGAACACAGATCCCGTTGTTTTCTCCGGTCATCACACTCGCGCCGTCGGTACTGATGCCCGTGATCTTAC